TCATAATTTTTCAAAGATTTTTCAAACACTTCTTCTACTCCGTGTTGCGCATCTTTCATCTAATTTTGGTGGCTGTGCAATGCTTATTCGCTTAGAAAAACGGGTTTGAACGATTTCAAAAACATCGTTCAAATTTCCCGCTCAAATACCCGCTTTGAAACGAACTTTGAACCTTCTTTAGAGCAGGTTGACGTGCGATAATTATGTGTGTACGGGATTACTGCGAGTTGAGAGTGAGGAAGACGTACATTAAAGTCCGTGTGCCTGACATCCTCGTTAGGGAGGGAAAGGAAATTATCAACAATAAGTGAAGGTATTCGAGTGGTCGCGCTAACAACAATTCTTTGCAAAAATTCCACACCTCAGCCCCGGATTCCAAACGATGTCCCTTTGCTTTTTCCCACAAAAACAAAATCCAGCTTGCCCTACGGAGACCTGTCGCCGAGGTCTGTCCCTGCATCAGAAAACTCACTGTCATCAACTGCTTTCCAACATCAGCAGCTGATGGTTCAAAACTTGATGCTTTTATGAGGATTTGGAGGAAGTCATCCGCAAAGAAAACCCTTTCAATAAGTTCGCCGTGGTGACTTCAATGCGGAATCGGGATGCCAGAAGAAGGGAGCAGAGGACCGGGTATGGATCAGAAATCCGGAATGAGAACGGTATCCGTCTCGTTGGCCTCTTATTTGCCGGACTTTTTCATGGTAACTCCATCTTCAAGAAGAAAGAACACCGGCGGTGGACGTGGGAGTCACCCAACGGTACGACTCATGCGGAGATAGACGACATTCTCACCAAACGAAGATGGTGCTCACTGAGGTCTCAGTGGTACCATCCTTCAGTAAGGGCTCATATCACCGCCTCCTTCGAGCAAAAGTGCGATTCAGCCGAAGGCTGGAAAAGAAGATCTGCCACCGTGTTGGAGGATCAAATATGATGGTGTCAGATTTGAGGAGCTCCTGACCACTTGTGGCTGGCCCACCGAGGAGGACTCAACGAAAGACTACGACCTGCTTTTTAGAGGAGTGAGAGCCTGTGGTGAAAGTGCCTTAATGCCTCGCATAAGGAACTTAGAACGAATTTCGGAAGCTATCAAGGACCTATTAGAGAGGAGAAGAGCATTGAGGCTACGGACTGCATCACATCTTGAGTGACTGGTTCCCAGTTGCGAAACAGCTTTGCAAGAAGATCTTTGAAAGTGCAGGCAATTGAAACTTTAAAAGCAGCACAAGGATGAAGAAAGACCTTTACGTCTACCGTGTTCCGGTGACAACATTACTAAACAAAAACGAGACTCCCACATCCGACAAAGAATGGAATCGAACGCGATGAATCTAGACCAATCTTTTCCAATCGTCAAAACCCGTGTCAAATCTCGTATTTCCACTGTAGAGACTGGAGAGATACCACCACGGATTCTACCTGCTGAAGGCGTGCCGCAATCCAGACTATGAAGGCAGCCACGGCTCCGGGACCGGACTATGTTTGGGCTGACCTCTTACGAGCTGGAGGACATCGAATACGCGAAGTACTTGCGGAACTTCTAACGTTTACCTTCGAAAGAAAAGATCCCCAACCAATGGAGAACTTCCCAAACAATCCTTCTTCATACGAATGACGATAGGGAGGATCTTCGGAACACCGTCCAATATGCCTGCTGAGCGTGCTTTACAAGCTTTTTACGAAGATTATTCTCGCTCGCATATCAAGGACGTTGGATAAAACCCAACCTGTAGAACAACCTGGATTTCGCCAGGGATTCAGCTGCGTGGATCACATTCAGACAATTTCGAGGATTATCGTGGTTTGCCGACAGTACCGCCTACCTCTCGTCCTAACCTTCGTTGACTATGAGAAAGCGTTTGACAGCGTCGAAACTAATGCCATACTGTCCGCGCTCATTGACCAAGGGATGGACGAATCC